TGTATTAATTCTATAAATTCTAAGTCAAAGCCTTGCATGATAATGTCCTAGAGACATTGCCGTAGATATATAGTTTATATTCATGGGGGAGGGGGGTTCACGCCTGGTCACTAAGAGAAAAACAATAAGGCAGAGTGCCATAGTGTATTGTTGGTGTGGCAAAATTGCACTAACGTTGGAAGGGGCTTAATGGAGAAGTGGGGTTCACAAAAAACAAACATCTATACTCACCTCTATCCTGCAACATAAGCGTGGTGCTGCAATAGCTAAAGTCCTCCGTACTTGGTGTGGCCTTCAGATTAGCACAACAACAGAGCTTCATGGATATACATGGCTGAGCAGCTGCATCCAAGACTTACATCACCAAGTGCAATGCAAAGCACATGATGCAGTGTTGTAAGGCACGCCGTCACTCTATAGCAGTGGAGACGAATAATGCTTCTCTGTTTGGCAATCCGATGGACGTGTCTGGGTTTGGCAGTTGCCAGGAGAACGATACTTGCCTGACTGGTTTGTGCCAACTGTAAAGTTTGGTGGAGGGGGGATTATGGTGTGGGGTTGTTTTTCAGGGGTTGGGCTTGGCCCCTTAGTCCCAGTGAAGAGAACTCTTAAGGCGTCAGCATACCAAGACATTTTGGACAATTTCATGCTCCCAACTTTGTGGGAACAGTTTAGGGATGATCCCTTCCAGTTCCAACATGACTGCACCAGTGCACAAAGCAAGCTCCTGACCTCAACCCAATAGAACACCTTTGGGATGAATTAGAGTGGAGACTGCAAGCCAGGCCTTCTCATCTGACATCAGTGCCTGACCTCACAAATGCGCTACTGGAAGAATGGTCAAACCTTCCCATAGACACACTCCTAAACCTTGTGGACAGCATTCCCAGAAGAATTGAAGCTGTTATAGCTGCAAAGGGTGGGACAACTCAATACTGAACCCTACGGACTAAGACTGGGATGCCATTAAAGTGTTACTAAACCCAGGACCCTGCATTTACTATATCTGGTCTCCCACAGGACACACAACATGGAAATCCAATTATTTTAGTAAACATAAACTGCTAAATACCTTTTCTCATCAGCTGTTAGAGCAGACTTGTGTCTTCTATCAGTGTCCAGCAGAGCACTGGTTAACGTTCATAGGAGGAGTTTTCTTTCTGCTCTAAGAGGATGCAAAACCCCTGACCTTTGTCAGGACAGTGCTGATTGGCCCTGTGCTGATCACATGCACTCTCCCAAGAAAAAAAAACTTTTCTAGCAATACACACTAAACTGAGCTTGTGCATGTGGCTACGGGTTCAGTATGTCTTATTGAGAGATGAGGCGTGGACATCTGAACAAGAGGAGGGGCAGAGAAAACAGGATCTAATGGCCTTTTTACACAATGCAGAGGATTAACCCCTTAGGTTCCACAGTGAGTTTGACAAGCATGCTTTACTGTATATAGAGACTGATTTTACTGTTGTGGGTTTAGTAACACTTTAAACTTCATGTGCGTGTAACGGCAGGCATCCCAGTACTTTTGGCATTATTGTGTGTGTGTGTATATATATATATATAATTCTTTGCATTCCCTATTGTGATGATGGTGGCCCAGAGGCAGCTGATAAGTCAACAAGCCTTTTCTTCCCTTTCCTGCTGCTGAAATTACATAGTTACAAGGAACCTTATGTGACTGTATAACCTGTTACCCATTGTTTTTTTTGGTTATTTCCATTTCATCAGTGTTTTGCTCTTATGCTTTAACTGGGGATATACCTCCTAAATCTTTATTCTGTGGTCTACTCTTTTGAACAAGCCTCATATAGAGGTGTTACTAAGGAATTGTGTCTCTTGAATTACTATTTCATACTGTTAAAATATGTCTGAACCCAGAGTGTCAGAGGTGTCGGGAAACTTGCAAAGTCAGGGCTACCACTAGGGACAAGCATTACCAAGAGGCCCCTGTGGGGGGTAGCGCTGCATGTAAAAGAAGGTTGTGTCACACAGCCATATGTGTCCAATAATAATAAATTAAAAATACCACGGTTTAATCCATTCAGCATCATTTCCTTGAGAATTGTCCCAAGACCTCATTCATGGCACACATCATCCTGCTATCTTATCTTGAAAGGAACAGCAAGCTTAAAACACATCTCCATGTCCCAGAATTTGCTGTATACTTGTGTGTCATGGACATAATGGAACAGAAATTAAAAATGAGTTTCCCCAGTTTACGACAAAGGGATTGAATTTCTCATTCAGTGACCTTACATTTCCCATTTACTTGACATCATTGACTGAACTCATTGTTGCACAACATTTTCCTGTCTTCCTCTATTAAAAATGTTTTTTTTTATTAAAGTCTGCTAATGACAGACTGCTAACAGCTGTACACAGCATAGTGACTAGACTTGTAAGCTGTGGATGATATGCAAATGAAAGGGTCAGTCTGCACAAAAGCAATTATTCCATTTTGTATCATTATACTAGACCAGTGTTTCTCAACCTTTTTTCGGTCAAGGCACCCTTTAAAATTATGGACAGTCCCGAGGCACCCTTCAAAACTATGGACAGTCTTCAGGCATCCCATTCTAAAATAGGGTGCCTGAAGACTGTCCACAATTTTAAAAGGGCACCCCATTCTAAAATGTGCCCTATTCTAACATTGGAGGTGATTTATTCTTCCAAAGCAAATACACTTTTGCACACTGGTACTGAGTAGTATTCCAGTGTTTCTCTTCTCCCTCAGTTTTTCTCCATCACTGAGCTAAATGTGACCCCAGCACTGATGGAGAGGGGCAGGGGATGGGCAAACTAAGATGTTGTTCACACAGCTGACATCCTCTGTTAGGGATCCGGGTATGACCAGAAATGTGTGGACTGACACAGGGAAACGCAGGCTTCAGATATAGTGTGAATAAGACAATTTATTAAGACTAAACAAAACAGACGCAGTGCAAGACTAAATAACAACACAGTGCAAACAAACCAACCCAAACCTCCAACAGATAACAACAGAAACAATACTAAGCGTAGTCGGGCAGGCCGGGTCGGTAGCAAACGGGCAGGCAGGGCACAAGGAGCAGGCGGAAGAGTAGTCAGGAATAGCCGAGGTCAGGACAGGCGGAGTTCATGCAGAGTCAGGGATCGAAGCAGAATCTGGATCAGGCAGAAAGCAGACAGGCTGCAGGTACAGGGCCCATGGGAAACATACACCAAGGCCCTGATCACAGGCCTGGCCATTCCTTAAATACACCTGTTGTAATCAGCTTCAGGTGATGGCTCATTGCAGGAGTGAGCCTCTGGTTGCTGAGAGCACCCGCTGGCCAGCCCTGGTACTGCAGCCCACAAGGCAGGTGAGTCCCACCACCACTGGCAAGTCCATTCCTGACATCCTCCTTATCAACTGATGATGTAATTGATTGTCAGGATGCTGGCGGCTAGAAGGTCGTAATGAAAACCTGTGGCTTTGTGTAACTAAAAGGTAGGCTTGTTCCACCATCTGGCTTGTATAAAGGTTTTGGTACATTTTTAGAAATTTTGCCAAGGTACCCCTGAAGAAACCTCAAGGCACCCTGGTTGAGAAAGGCTGTACTAGACTGAGATTCCACTGAAGGTCACATTTTAGCTGTAAAATAATAGAAACATATAAGAGTGGCAGGGAGCCACCCTTTTGCTGCTGGAGACTATTTTGTGTTTAAAAACATGTTTCAAAAAATCATATCAGGCCTGAAGATTAGATAAAACTCCCCAAACACTATACTGTATATTTTCTGAAACCAGAAACCCTGGAGAAAGAAAAATCGGTAGTTCCAAATTTCTGTTACACAATATTAACACAATGGTTTACCAAGGGAAAATTGTCAGTAAAAAATAAATTTAAGTGAATTTCCAGGCAAACAAACACATTGCCAGGGGCGGACTGACCATTCAGAAACTTGGGCACTGCCCGAGGGCCTGGGGTCAGTAACGGGCCCCATGACATTCCCCTGGTACCTTTCATAGGCTTTTTGGGGTGTGGTTTGAGTGTGGGTGAGGACACAGGGGCCCCATGATCCCCTATTGCCTGGGGCCCATGAGTTGTCAGTCTGCCCCTGCACATTGCATTACCCAATTTTGGTGAAATAGAAAAGATGAGATTGTGCTGAGTAAGTAGATGCCAAACACATCAAGCCTAGTCCTCAAGCACGCTGGACATTTTCACAGCTGCTATGTTTAGCTTTTGGCATTTTTTCTACAGCCAGTAAACTCCCCAGCATGTTATCCTATGTGTTCATGCACACATAGGCTTTAATCAACATTTTTTGGCAGAAGCATTTTTTGGCCGGAAAAAACCCTAAAAACGAGTGGGTTTCTATAGAGTTAGTTTTTATAGTTTTTTAGCTGCAAACACGCTCTAATGCTGGAAAACGTGGAAAAACAAGGCAAACTGGTGTTTGTTTTTGGGGTGTTTTTTTAGTAACAATTTTATTTTTTTTGTGAAAAAAAAACACTAAATGACTGTTAAAAACCGCAAATGCAGAAAACATCGCTAAGCGCTAATGCAAAACACTAAAAAATGCGGAAAAACTCATTTTTAACTTGACTTTATACAGCTGACGCTACCAGCGTTTTTAAAACGCCCCGTGTGCATGAGGGCTTAAAATTGTGCACACTTGTGAAACATCAACAAACTTTTGGAACCCAACATTTTCCATAGATAACACTTTAAAAGTCCCTACAAGTCATCTGTTTACCACTAACTTGAATAATAGACCTAAAATGATTGCTCTTGCTCTGGTGTTTGCAGCAATATGTAAACTGTGTATCGCAATCAGTGTTTTCATAGATAAGTGCCCCCAAAGTGTGTGATTATGTTTGTATATTCATGTACATATGGGCAGGACAACTTTTTTACACTTTTTTCACTTAACTTTATTTATCAGATTGTGGACCGAAAGTCTCTGTAATGGGATATCTGGGGTCCGTTTGACTCCGGATGTCTCATATGCCTTCTACTGAAGCTAAGGGACAGATTGGTTTAACCTCCCTGGCGGTATTCCCGAGTGTAGCTCGGGGTAAAGTTTCAGTACCACAAGCGGTAACCCCGAGCTACACTCGGGAATACCATGCGGCGCTGCTCCGGGATCCCTCGATCACTTACCTTGTCCTGCGCTCCCGCGATGTCCCTCCTGCAGTGTCCCCGGCAATGTCCTCCGGTGGATGCCGGCATCTGTCATCTGGGTTCCGTCCCCTGCGAGCGTCGGGACGTATGGGGATGGAACTGGTGGGAAATTTGAAAATGACAAAAGTGACATTCACTAAATTCACTAAAATCGCATAGTAAAACATTACGGTATCAAAGCATTTCACATACATTTTGTCCCCGAGTACTTTGTCCTGTGCCCTGCCTGCATTTTTACTGTTCCTTCTGCCTGGAAACTGAGAAACGGCGTCCAAAAAGCGTCCCTTTAGGTCAAAAGCGGTTTTAGAGCAGCTAGAGAACAGTGATAGTAAATTAGAACTACTTGCAGAATTGAGTGATGATTCGTGAGGAAATTCGTCATCAGACACTGAGAACGATTTTGCGACTTTGCTCAGTGATGTGCGAACGTGGCGCTCTATTTCAAATTTCAGTGTTTTTGGTTTGATTATATTATTGAATTAAATTATTATTATATTATTATTTTTTATGATTATTTATTAAGTTATAATTTATGATTTCGTGTTTCAAATTGTAACATACTGGGGATGCTTACTAGACTCTTGTTCGGACAGATTTCAGTGAGTTATTCCTAAAAATGACAGGCCTACAATAAAAAAAAATACATATTTCCATGCAAAAAAATGTACCGCTTTGAGCACAGAAATATGGACATAATCACTAGGGAGGTTAAAAGTGCAGTAACATGCAATATACCAACCAAGCCTTGAGAGCTTTACCCTCTGTTAGGACTGGCAGTGTTTCCTACCTTAATAACAACTTATAATGAAGATCTGCCAGCACAGTACAGACAGGGTTAATTATGGTAAACATTACTCTCCAGACCCCTCTTTAACTGCTTGTCTACTGGACACTTATACCCCCTTCCTGCCCAGGCCAATTTACACCTTTCAGCGCTGTCGCACTTTGAATGGCAATTGCGCGGTCATGCAACACTGTACCCATATGAAATTTTATCATTGTTTTTCACACAAATAGAGCTTTCTTTTGGTGGTATGTACTCGCCACTGCGTGTTTTATTCTTTGCGCTATAAACAAAAAAATTGCAAAAATTTTGAAAAAAAAAGTTTTTCTTTGTTTCTATTCTAAAATTTTGAAAACAGGTAATTTTTCTCCTTCACTGACGTGCATTGATGAGGTTGCACTGATAGGCAGCACTGATGGGCACTGATGAGGTGGCACAGATAGGCAGCACTGATGGGCACTGATAGGAGGCACTGATGAGCAGCACTGCTGGACGGCACTGCTGGGCACAGGTGGGTGGCACTGCTAGGCACTGCTGGGCACAGGTGGGTGGCACTGCAGAGCACAGGTGCATGGCACTGATGGGTACAGGTGGGCAGCACTGATGGGTACAGGTGGGCACCACTGCTGGGCACTGATCATCAGTGCCCTGATGATCAGTGCTGATCACTTCTCTGACAATTGCCAGTTATCGGTAGTACTTAAAGTGCAGCCGATAACCAGCAACTGTATTTACTCTGTGATCTGCTGTGTCCAACAAAGGTTTTTATTGCAAAAATAACAGATCACAAAAAGTGCAATGTTTCAGGGCCGCGCAGGACCCCTTCGTCAGGCATGTGATGTGGTGGCTGACGTCACATGCCTGACGAAGGGTTACTGTGCGGCTCTTTTGTGATGTGATCTTTTTACAATGGACCATATTGGAGATCCATGGCGTACTGGCGAATATGTAAATTTGTTTATTTTGCGCTGAACACTAGAGGAGGAGAAAGGGAAGCTCAGTCTGGGCAGCAGATGTCCCTGAATTACAGAATTACCTGGCTACACATAGAAGGTGATAAATTCACTGGCACCTGATGTACACTGTGGCTGTTGCTTTTCCTTCCTTTGTCCATAGTATAGATTCACTTTAAGGTAAATATTACAAAAATGTGCCCATGGAATAGCTATATGCATGACATTATCTGGGCCATACATATCCTCACCGTGTAATTTATCTTAGTATCTAATACAACAGAGAGCTACTAATTCATTTCTGGCCATGGCCATCTAGAGTAAGAGCAGATGATTCTGGTAGCATTTACTTCCTGGAATCCATCTATCCTTAGCTTAGGTATGCAGGCAGGAGGGTGTGCTTAGCTGAGAAAGCACCTCTTCCCCTCTTCCAGGTGAAAAAATAAAAAGTGCCCATGAAGACTCCAGGGATGTATGACATCATTTTAGCCTAGGCCACAAACCAGGAAGCAAATGCACAAAAAAATAAGGTTCAAACAAGTAAATAAAATATACTGTACCTTCCTATCTATTTACTAATGCTAGAAGCATAAAGATTAAAAATAGTTCCTGTTGATTGAGATAGTGAAGTTCCACTTTAATGATTAGAAAATGTGGGGAAATTAATGAAACTCTTAGATAGTAAATGTAGCATATAACTTTCATCTGCTTCCTTTTTGTGGTCAGAATTCTGAAGTAATTTATTAGTGGCTAAGTCATATGTCTGCATACTATATATCTGACTTTGCAATCTGCCATAAAAATGCTTTCGCTGGAAACATTTAAACCTGGTTTGTTTATTAGGATGATGTTTTCAATAGTGATGAAACACTACCAGCTTAAAGCGGTAATAAACACAAAAACAAAAATGTAATATATTGCACCTTAAAAAATTCTAAGCTGTGGTGGCTGCATTCATTTTCTTTTTTTTTTTTTTGCTCACTGGTTGATCCTTCCAGGAAGTCTGTTATTTTTCAACATCCTTTAGCAGATCAAGCTGTCCAGAAAAAGTAGCAGTTAGAAGATTGGGACAAACCAATTACCAATGACAGGGGTGCTTAGAATGACCAGCTTTTATTTATTTAAGTAAAGCCTTTATTCTGAAAACAGGAAAAAATTGCTGTAACTGCTTGAAATGTGTTCTCTGGAGTTTGGTTTTCATTTGTGAGTTAAATCCATCTGAATTTACTAGTACATCTAACACTACCCTCCTCTAGACTAACAGTGCTGTGTCCAATGGTGTCTCCTATTGCTCCTCCATAGAGTGGAGACACCCTAAAACAGGAAGTGTGTTGCTGGCCAGATCCCCTAGTGAAAATAAAGGAAAACAAAGCCTATAAAAAGAAAACTAATTCAGTTACCACATTTGAGGATTGGTAAGTGGCAATCTATTACATTTTTGTTTTTTGGGTGTAATAGCACTTTAATTCTGACTTTATTATTTCATCTTTAAAATCTAATAACTGATTGGTTGCTAGGAGTTAAAATACATTTTGCCATGCTCTTATATATTCATCTTACACTTGTAGCGTGCTCTAGGTAGATAGCATTTTTTGGTTAGTCAGAAGCTTGCTAAAGCCTGGGATGAATCAGACTGGGAGTGAGGCAGTGAGGTTACCTCAGGGCAGGCTAGGAGGCTGTACAAGTCAGGGCTTCTGAAGCCCTCCCACCCTTCTAGAAACTACAGGAATTTTCTAGAAGAGGAGCGCATGCCTGGATTTGCATGTTTAGGGGAACCTAAGCAATCCTCAGAGAGGAGGCCTGGCATGGTGACTAGGACAGTTCTTACATGTGAGAGAGTGTGCACCGCAGGCAGTTGTTGTGGAGTCAGGTAAAAGATGGACTGAAGGAAGGTGCTGAAGCATGGAGCCTGGGGGAGGGAGGACTACCTACAGGCTGGAGCAGACAGAAGGATCTCCACTGCCCTACAGTCTCTTAACGAAGACAGCCTGTCAGCAGGGAAGGAGCCAACCCAGTGTAAGGCCTGAAAGCAGCATCAACGCACTGCAAGAAAAGGACCATGGGAGTACTTCTACACCCCCTGGCCCACTGAAGGGAGAGGGTGGTCAGGTGCAATACCCAACCAGTTCTCATCTGGGACTGCTTCACAGTAGATTCTGGAGTCCTTTGCCCAGGGATACCCCCATGACAGCCGGATGGATAAGAAGAGTTTCATCTGAGGTTACACCGAAGGGGACACAGTGTTCCTTGCTAAAGACTGTTGCTGATTTTGGGTCCACATTTTGTAAAGTTTGCGAAGAAGTTGTCCTCAAGTTTTACAGTTGCTCAGACATTCCATATACCCCTAGACCCCATCTAAGTTGATAACCCCTAAGAAAAACAACAAAAAACAGCCTCAAGGACTGTTTTATTGGCTCTGAGAGAAACTGTGGAAAATGCACGTTTCCTGACTGTGCAGAGTTTAAGAAGACCCAGCAAAAATCCAGCGGTCCTAATGTTTTTTTACTGTAGTAAGCCTTGAAACAAACAGAAACATCTGCAATACAACAATGGTTTCTATTGCTCTTTTTACCCCTGTTGGGGGGATTCACCCTACCGTCTATTGTCCTGATGACCATTGTTACCAGGGCAGAAAGGGTGAAAGGAAATCTTCCAATAGGCACAGCTGTCCTGTGTAAGAGGAGATTTCTCCTCACTTTAGGAAAAGTTCTTCTCACTTATTGCATATCCAGGCAAGAAGTAAGGGAAATCTCACTAGTAGGACACAAACAGAAAAAAATAACCTGATAGGGGCTTTCACCCTTCCTTTATTCCAAGCAATCTAAAAATGTTTTCTTTTCTGTTTCAATATTTTTATTAGGAAAGTTTTGTTTTTAAGAATATAACAAGCTCAAAATACGCCCTCGCAGGGGCAGAGCAGAACAAGAACATATAAACAGAGACATCCTGCTGACTTGTATTAGTCAAATAATGAAATGTCCAATGACATCAAGAAGGGACAGCAAAAAGCCGAGTCAAATAGCAGCAGTAATCCAACATAATATCGGAAAAAAAGAGAAAACAAAAAATGTTAGAAGAAAAGAAAAAGAAAAGAAAACAAAAGGGAATCAGAAAGAAAACACGAAAGAAGGGAAACTAGAGGGATCACGGATCCGGGGCTATCACAGGCAGCGACTATAGGAGGCCATAACTAGTAGGAGGCAGGGATGGTAAGGAATAACGTATCCAAGGTTCCCAAACCTTAAGGAATCTTGGATGAGAATCGTGAAGAATGCTAGACATCTGTTCGTTGAACAACATAGCATTCATCCGAGTCTTCACCCCCTGGAAGACTACCGAAGGGGTTCTCCAAGCTATAGCACGTTTGGCCATAATGAATAGGTAGGATGCCAATTTCTGTTGAGACCTAGACAGACCCAAAATTGGGCAATGCAGGAGGGCCACCTTTGCATCCCTA